TTTCGTTCTCTGAAGTAACTGTTGGTGCATGCTGACCTGACTTGTTCCCAAACACGATTTGTTCAGTTTGCACCTGAAATAGAGAGAGTTCTGCAGATCAGACCAAACAGTAGCCTAAAATATGGTGTCCTCCTCTGCTTGGCAACAAAGATGCAACTAAATAGTTAACACTACTGGAGCTGGGCTCTCTTGCAGAGATCATCATACTCTAGTTCAGTGGATAACAAAAATGTTTTACTTCTTGGGATCTGGCAAAAAGCTAAGTACTTGGATTTGGTTTCAAATGCCTTGAGAGAGACACAGTGACCTGCCACAAGGTCTGAGAAATCTGTTAATCCAGATTGAAGCTAGGCCTTGAGTGAAACAAAGGAGTATTAGTGCCATGCTATTAGCAGATTCAGTGCAGGAAAGCAGGTGCATTTCATAGCTAAAAATGTGTGTAGTGAATACACCTAAGTTACTTTAAGAACTATGTAGGGATTTAAATTTTTGAGGTTTTTCTGTGATTAACTTTTTTTTTAACTGATTCACATTATTACTATTTTCTGGTCAGCTCTAGCTAGATGGCTACTTGGTTTTCAGCCACAGTCTCAGTAGCCACTTCTATGCATTTACCAAGGAGAACTGGAAGGGTCTGCTGTCATGTACTGGATAGCCAGCCAGTGAAACCTGCTCCTGAGCTGTAAAAAGTCTCTTTATTTTCTTTTTAGTAGCCTGTAGCCTTTTGTTAGATGGATCTTATGTGCTTATTAGAAGGCTTTTAACAGTTTTTTTTTCAGGGATGAGACTGGGGACTAGCTCTGCCTTTGTCCTTAACCTGATCTCTCCTAAGGGCCTATCAGCTGACAACAGTAGTTGTCATTTGTGAATTTGTATGGGACACTAGTGCAAAGTTGGTTGGTTACATCTTTGGTACAGGAATAATAGCATCAGATAGGGTGGAAGTGAGTCCCTGGCACCTCGGTTTGGTGATACAGGAGTAGGTATGACTGATGCTAGAATTGCCTTCTACAGTTGGAGGTATTTTTAAGTGAACTCCCATCCCAAATTTTCCTCCCTACTCCACAGCAGGCTTTCACTGGCTGGAAAAGCAGTCAAGGTGAAGCTCTAGATAGGAATAAATGAAAGCAGAGGGAGGCAGGGGGTACTGGTCAGCCTGAAAAGAATCATTTCCAGGTATGAAAACTTAAACTCTTTTGGTGTTGAACAAAGAACTGTAGATGGTGCTTCAGATTGCATTCAAGCCTTACAATGAAGGATGAGGATGGTCTTTGGCTTCCCTGTGACTCTGCTAGGAAAAATGCAGAGTAATATGAGCCCTGCCCAAGAGTGTTGATCTTTCTGGACAGAAAACTAAAGATCACATCTTCCTGTGACCCCTTTGTTTTCACTACAGCCTAGTCTTTCATTCACTCTGCTGAATACTTGCCCTTCTTCCTACAAGTAAGTGACAGAATATTTTCTTGCTATTGCAGGGTCTCTGATGTCTGTGAATCCTGGAGTTGCTCGCTGGATCAAGGAGCTGTTCTGCCACAATGAACGGGTTGTCCTTACAGGTGACTGGAAACATGGCTTCTTCTCTTTAACAGCTGTGGGAGCAACCAACGTGGGCTCCATCCGCATCTACTTTGACCAGGTAAGCAAACAGGAGTAATAGGCAGCTTTCTGGTTTGATGGTTGAGGATGGTATGGGATAATAAAAGTAAATTACAAAAAAAAAAAAAATTTACCCTGAAATTAGGGTGTTTGGCAATACCAGTGTTCTGAGACTGATTTAAAGGGAGTCATCTCCTAGACTATTCTTTTTAACACTTGCATTGCACTTCTGAATTGTAAGAAAGTTCCTGCACTGGAAATGCCTGGATATCCAGAGTCTACAGCTGAACTAATGAATATAGAGCACCAAAATCCTCAAGTAACAGTCTCTTCCTTCTCTCTGCAGGACTTGCATACTAACAGTCCGCGTTACTCTAAAGGTTCCTACAATGACTTCAGCTTCATATCCAACAACAACAAGGAGGGAATCCCCATGAGGAAAGGGGAACATTTAGGGGAATTTAACTTGGGCTCTACAATCGTACTAATCTTTGAGGCACCCAAGGACTTCAAATTCCACCTCAAAGCTGGACAGAAAATCCGCTTTGGAGAAGCACTGGGCTCTTTATAGAAACTGTCTGGCAAGAAGATTTTTTTTCTATACAAAGGGACTCTTATCACACCCCACTGAGTGTTTCACTTAACAAGTATGTATCACTCAGCAGGACCTGGGTGAGGAAAACAGAAGATGTCATTGCTGCAGTAAAATTGAGAGTATTTGGTCTAATTTACATGCTGCTGAATGCAGACAGATAACTGAATGACCATGTACGAATCAGGTACAGCTGCCTTTAAAGATGTTGATGGAGGTTTCTGTCCCACCCTGTGCCTGTAGTCTTTCCTGTTCTCCCCTCTAATGTGCCACATTTATTTTGCCAGTGTAGTTATGTTCCTGGAGCCCGTACGTCGCTTTTAAGCCTTCTGGGCTGTGCAGGTGAAATGGGGAAGGGTGGAGGTAGAGATTAGCTGTATTTAAAGGGACACTGACAGGCTGAGTCAGGCCTTGTACCTTATACCTGCAATATCTCTTTGTCAGACTTTTGTATCAAAAATGTGTTCTTTATTACAAGACACTCCATTGAAGTTCTTACATAAAGGCAGCCTATGAATGCATAGAGAGCCAGTTAAATTGGCTAGTATGGCTTCACAGTCCCAACTAAGCAAAATGTACAGACAGCATCACTGTACAATATATTACACTCATCCAGAGTTTCTACTCTTGGACAACTAATTCTTTTACCTGACACTGTCCCTTTGAATTGGACTTTGCACTGTATTTTAAATCTGGAAACACTGTGTCTACATTCCATATGATGAAACTGGTTATCTTGTGATTTTCTTTTTAAAAACAAGGCAGACAAAGCTATGTGTCCTGTTCCTTACCCATGGTTTTATTTTGCTATTCCAGGCCTTAAAGATTGTTTGTATGAGAAACAGTTACTTCATCTCTTGGATTAAGGGGTTAGAAGACACAGGGGGATGTTTTTCTCATGTGATGCATTGAGATAGCAGCCAAAACATGTTTTTACTTTTTCCTGTGTTTCTTCATTGTTGCTTTGTCACTAAATTCCTGAAGACCTAATTCCTCTATTTATAGAATAGTTTCAGATACTTCAGGACCAATTTTTATTGCACGGAGTGAAATGCCCTATGCACTGACTGTGGATAAAAATATTGTGGATCTTGGAAACAATCCCAAGTTGTCTCACAGGTGCTAACCTGGCCCTCCTCTAATGGATAGGCAACAATTTTGTATTCAGACTACAAAAAAAAAAAAAAAAAGAGTCCCACACCAGCTCCGACTTCTGCCCTTATACTTAATGGTAGGGATGTGCTGGGGGCTTCATCCTACAGAAAAGCTTTAGAGCCTCTTTGTAACTTCACGTTAAGAAGAGTTAAAAATCTAACACCTTCGGTCTGTTGAATGTGGCATGATACAGCACTGGCAGAAACTGGTGACAAAGTGAAGAGGAATTTAGTTTTAACACAATTTATCACTTTTCTTTAGAGAATAAACTGTTTCAAATCCAGGCACTCAAAACATTTAGAATGGACTTTGCTGTCCAAAGCTTGTTTGAGTGGACATGCTTATGAAACCTGCCTTTCTGCTCTCTGAAAGATTTCTCTTACTACTTCCTTGCTTGAGCTATTTTTCTGCTACTTCAGGGAGCTGGTAGGCTTTGACCAGCTCCCATTTCCTAAAGAACTCATCTTTGTATGCACTGCAGAAAATAGAATATAATTTTGTTGTACAAATGTCCAGTTTGCTAAGTCCTGTATGCTTAGCTTGTCATCAGGAAAGAAAGGATGATAAACTGCCTGTAAGTGATGTAGCCCAGCCATGACTCAGATGATGGTGGCTGTTCAGGTGACAAGCTGGAGAAAATTCATTTGGCTCTGAGAGTCAATGTTTCCTCACTTTACATGGGGAGGAGTATGAAAGCTTGAAGTGGCTCTCAGCCACATATCTTGTTACACTTCTTGGCATTAGCAAGTTTACTCCTGCAGCAGTATATTACCATATACAGGTTCTAGAAATGTGCACTTTCTTAACCATTAGGAAAGTGCAGAAAAGACTTAGGCAAACATCAGCCCCAAGAGGATGAAGCTATGACTAACCTTTTGACTAAACTTCAGTGTCACATTAACAGGAGAAAGCAATTTTGTTCCAGTGGATGAATGAGAAGACACCTGAATCTTTTCATCCTTTTCCACTGGGGCCTGTGGCATCCAGACACAGCCAAGGCAACATTAAGCTTTAATTCCTTCCTACTCAGCATCATCATCCACAGTATCTGAAGGTTACTGTTAGCCTAATAATGGAGGAAGGGTTACCCAATGTTTGCTTTATTAGAAATCTAAGGAGGAGGAGAGGATTCAGCATGCAAGTGGCTGTTTTTGTGATGGTCTTAATACTGTGCAGAGCTAACTGATTAACCAACATTACTTGTTACACAGTGGTCAGCAATGCACCCTGGAAGTGAAAGCAGAGTTCCTAGAGGGTACTGATAATGCTGTGAATTTCTCCTGCATGGAGAATCCATTTAATTCAACTGTATCAGTAGCACGGTATTTTTGTATGTCAAAGAGTATGACTTACTGACATGAACTCATTTAATTGCAAACATTTTGAAATAAAGACTCTTATCAGTGTTGCTTATCTTTCTAAAATGTCAGAGTAACCTAAACCAGGTATTTTGAGTGCAGCATGAGATCTGTTCAGCTCCTGTTTGGTTTGGGTTTTAACGAGCAGTAGTAACAAATAAACCAAGCAAAACCATTTAATTTATAAAAGAAAAATGCTATACACAGACTAAGAGAACGTATACATCTCTTCCATCCTTCCCTGGCATGAAAGGGGCAAAAAGTCCTACCCATCAAGCTGGACAGTTGGTTCAGACGCATCACAAATCCAGAGCAATCTGGATATCGTGCAGGCGGGCAACCAGGTTCTGCACATGATGCCTCTCTTTCAGCTGGGCTGTGGTGAGAGCCTTGATCCTCACCTGCAACTGAAAGCAAAGACAACTGCATAAGCTGTTTGTACAGCAAGACAGCATTTAGCCTTTCTGACAGAGGAAGAGTGAATAAGCTCTAGCTCCCTTTGTATTATCCCACTTGGGAACCATTAAGTGACAGGACTGTGTCACTCAGAAAGAGCCAGGTACTGGCAAGCTCTAGAGGTGACCACGCAGTACCTGCACGTGGGACAGAGCAATGCAGGTGCAGTCACAGGGCAGCTGCATCACCCAGAGAAATGACAGGGAAAAAATGATACTGAATCTACTAAAGCCTGCAATGTAGCCTGGAAACAGCCTTCGAAGATCTGTTGGAGCTAGAGTTATGTTCAGAACAAATGGGAAGATGCATCTACACAGCACTGTTCTTCTCATCAGCTCACTGCCGATGACCAGTTTCCCTTGGTATTTTAGTAATAGCTAACCATGCAGTTCTTCACAACTACCATCAGCTTTTAGGCCTAGTGCATAGCATCATGACAGTCATTTTGGTAACCTTCAACCTGTTTGCTGCTCACACACCTGATGCAGTTCTTCCTGAACTTGTACATCATTTTGGTCTTCTTGTTGTGTGCTCATTTCTAGCCATTTCTGTAGAATCTGGGCCTGCTGCTGACAGGACCTGATAAAATGGATTAGAAGGATTCTTAATCACAGTTAAGAGCTCAGCAGTCTAAGCAAACTTACACTTGCTACTGATACAGTAAGACCCGTTTTTTTTTGTTTGTTTCAAACCAGTGAATGGTTGAAGTCTTTAAAAAAAGTAAGGATGTTAGAAAGCAGAGAAATTTATCTGAAAACATCTCTTTTCGTACTCCTCACTCCTGACCATTCAATCCCTTCCATGCCCCGTTTTCTTTTAAGCTTTTTTTAAAAGGTGTTCTTTAGTTAGAGAAGTTATCAAACACCAGCAATTTTTTTTTGACAGTTGGAAACACTTAGTCTAAATTTCAGATGCTCTGCCAAGTTAATTTGTGCTCCCTTCAGATTACACCCAATGATAACCTTTGTTACACTTTCTTCAGTAGCTGCCAAAGGTATCATTAAACTGCTTGCTGACTACAGAAGTTGCACATGTACTCTCACCTGCAGTGAACTCTTAAAATGAGAAAATAAAAATCTCTAGAACTTTTGTTACATTCACAGTTCTGCTGTGAACAGACCAGTTACTGTCAAAGTAGAGACATTTAAGAAATGCAATACTGAGTTGACAGCATGAAGAAAAGCTGCCTGAAGGGGCTTTGTGACATACTTGAGTTCTTGCTCCCTGCTGAAGTAGTACTCCATCTGCTGTTGGATGTGTTGGAGTTCAACCTCCAGCTTTCTCTGCAACACCATGTCTTCTCTGGAACCCTGCTCCCTTTTTTCCCAGTCAGCTGAATGGGAGATACAAGGCAGAAGGTAATGGAAGTGGAGCAGACTTCCACTGTTTCTTACCAAGGAAAGTCAGGTTAGTAGACAGGAAACATGGAACCCTCCCGAGTCCTTTTCACACATTTTGTCACTCTGTGACTTGCGCTTGTTCACTCAAAAGATCAGGTACAGTGAGAGGGCAGGAATCCTGACAGCATTACAGGCTCTAAAGACTCAGTTTAAACATTAAGAAAAAAAAAAAGAAATGCTCTAGTGAATGGTTTAGTCTACAAATGCTGCTGTGGCCTATTGGTGATTTAGTGTTTTGTGTCTACTCTAGAACTAAGTAGCCTCTAGTCCTGTGGAAAAAAATTTCATGCCCTTATGTCATTAAAAATACCACATTGAGGGGTGCTTCGACACCATGTCCCCTTTACAACCATACTGTAAGTACAGGGAAATGGGAGAACTTGGAGAACCTTCCTGAGTGAATTCTTGCGTCCTGAACCAAGTTCTGCACATTAAGCTGTGCACATGTGAATGCCCCAGCACTTGAGCACATTCTTACTGAGGGAAGCCAACCCCTGGCAGTTCCCATCCTTCAATTCCTCCAACAGGCCTTTAGCTCCGATTCAGCAGAATCCACAAAATTATTACCATCCCAAAAAGGAATGACTGATGTTCTTTTCCTCCTGATGCAGGCATACAAGACTGTCTTGCCTCCCTTACATTTTGTGGACTTGACTTGCAGTCTTGGAGGACACAGAAGTGCTACAGTTTAGATCTGAGGACCTACCTTCAGTCTGGTGACTCCATTTTCCCACCAAGTCTTCAGGTGACAGCAAATGGGGCTGCAAGTTTGGTCGCAACTTCTCCAAAGAGTCCTGTTGAAAGTCTTGGGAATGGGCTTCTCCTTTGTGACCACCCACAGGCTGACCTGCCCTCTGCAAGGTTAGAATTATACTGGTTTTTTTCCTCAAAGGATTTTATTGAGGAAGCCCTACATGTAGGATGCATGGGACCTACTAAACCCTGCTCCTACTCAGGCACCCCTTGTACTCAATGAGCCCCTCATAATATGCCACAGCAGAAGCAGAATCTAAGAAATGGGATCTTGGATTTCTAGCATGAAGCTGCTTCATCAAGATTAACACCTCCTGTTCTGTGTGGAACACGAGTTTAAAATGCAAGCACCACCTTGCAGGTGAAGTGAATTTCAATTTCTGAGACTTAGCCATAGCCAGTGCTACTAAACTGAGTTACTCTAAAATCCCTATGATCTGGTTGGCAAACTAACCGCTCTGAACTCTTCAAACGAGCAACACTACAGTCAATTGCCAGGAAAATCATCCAGCTAGGAAGGACACAAGCCCAGGAAAAAGGGCATGAACAACAGTAGAGTGCACATGTAGATTCATCAGCTAGTGAAATACTGCTTCAGACTGGTGGTAAACAGCTCTTGAACATCAGTTAATTCAGTCAGCTTTTAAGATGCTAAAAGAAAAGAATAGCTCAACTACCAGATGGACAGTTCAGAGGAGCCATGGGAAAACCCAGCAATACCAGTAGGCACATGTTTTGTTTTCTTCATCAATACACTCACCATTTCTGTGCCAGCTTTCATCTGGGACATGAAAGATGAAGGAGACCAAAGCTCTGGCCTCTTAACAGCACGGTACACATCATGTGTCCACACAGGTACAGATGGGAAAGCAGCATGGGTGAGAGATGGATAGAAATTGACAGCATCATCCATCTGAGACAGAGATTTACAGGTACTTCCTTCCATTTGAGGTGTTGGCATTAAATTCCCAGTCTGTGCAGAACATCTGTTTGGAGATGGTTGCTGAAAGGGTGCCTCTGATCTGTAAAAGAAGGAGGATGATGTCCCTGTACATTGCAACCTGTTGGTCTTGTCCTTTGCAGTCAGTGCCAAAAAAAAAAAAAAAAAGCAGAATCTTGTTACTCCTTTACATACAGTTTTCCAGTCAGTAGCTTTACTGTGCAGAGGAAACCTCAATTTAAAAAAAAAAAAAAAAACAAACCACTAACCAACCAACCCCAGAACTCCACAGTTGTTTAAAATACAATTTCAAAAAAGCAGTAAAGTAGTTAAGGTTTCCATTACTCCCACCTGCCCTGCTCCAAATCCTCCACCTGAATCCAGGCTGAAACAATTTCTTCATAGAGCTCTGAATTCATCCCATTAACAAAATCCTGCCTTATGTTGGTTTGGGGACAAGAGAAAGAGATGAGCAGAAACAGTTACCTCAAATAGGTTTTGACAGGAAATTGATATTTCCCTTCTCTATAGCTAATTACAACAGTTTCACAAAATAAAGTTCAGTCTAAACACCCACTTAAAAGCAATTTCAGCTTCTACAGCAGGAGCAGTTTCAGCTCCTTTACTTTCTGAGCTAAGAAGTGATAGCAGAACAAGTGCAGAACACTCAAGACAGTGAAACTATTGCTTAGTTGAACAATTTCAGAAGCACAGACCTTTTGGGCAAATAAAAATAAAAAGTGGCTTCTTTTAATGGAACAAAGTTGATTCAATCAAGACAGGAGGATACATTCAGTTCTGTTCAGTTCTGTGCATTATCAGAGTCCTTAATGAGTACCCAGTAATTGGTTAAATCCAGACCAAAACCTGTTCTGGTGCAAGTGATATGCCTCATCTTTCCTTCAAAATTACTCACTACTGAAACGAAGACCTTGGCTGTTATTGAATTAACTTGAAAATTCTGTTATTCCTTCCCACTTCACAGAAGAAACCTGACGTTTCTAAGGTCACCATAACTTTTTGATAGTATAGAACAATGTACAGTCCCATAATTGCTCAATGTTCTGCATTTCAAAGGTCAGGGAATTTGAGGGTATAAGCATGGCATAGGGCCCACTGTGAGTCACCCTCTTCTTTATTTTAAAAACATTTTCTACCTAGTAAAAGGAGGCCCCAGCAGTTCCTTGCTTTCGTGAGACTCCAGAACGAAGTCAGGCCTCTGTGGTGGTAACCTTGCTCGTTGAATAGCATTTCTGAAAAGAACAAACAGAAACAATAATGCCCCAGATTCATGATTATTTTAAATTGGCATGAGCTGGCATTGCAGCTAAAAGAACAGTCCTATTCAATCATTCATCCCTGCTCTGCGACGTTCCCCTTGCAAGCAATTATGATTTTTAAAGATTAAACTTCTGTTTGTATTAATGTCACAATTTGGTTCACCCTATGAATACTTGTGCCAGCACAAGGAGTGGTGGAAGGGAAAAAACTGAACAAGGCAGAACTACTTCTTTTGCCAGCATGTACCAGCTTAAAGAAACGTGAAGCTATCACCTTATTTCCCTATAAGGCTCCTGTCCTGGACTGAGAAGCTTCATGGAAGATTATTCCTTGCAATTGCCCCATGATCAGTAAGAATTTTTCAAGGAATAGCTTCCCCAGAGGAAAGAAATGGGCAAGAAGAAAGCTGGGTTTCTGCACAGCCAGGAACTTAATGTTTATCGTTTTATCAGACCCTATATAAGGCCTCAGTGGGAAAAAAAAAAACAAACGTCAGTGACAGCTGACAGCTCTAGGCCACTTGGGGAAGATAACCTCATGACAGCAGAAGCTCATGACATACATCTTTCAGATGTTTCTCTCTGTTCTGTGACAAACGACCAATGCTCCATGAATTCATAGCTGTATATTGAGAAACGCATAGTGGAAAGTATAGAGCTGAGCTGATTCTACCCTCCCACAGAAATGCAAATCACAAATTCTGTCAGTGTCTGTGAGCTGATGTATGCATCATGCAGCAGCTCTGCTATAATTCTGCAACACCGGCTGTACAATGCAGGGTCATAGAATGAGTTAGGGAAACTGCATGGGACTAACAGCTAACAGTGTGACAACCTGGAAACAAAAGCAATAGACACACCCACAGACTCCATATATGCAAAGCTACATATATGCTGGAGAAACACAGGAGGGACTAAAACTTTCCACTCACATGTTGCTGAGAAGGGAGTCTCCATAAGCAAGGTGAAATCGTAGACGACCGCATTTTGAAGGCCACAGCTCTTCCTCTGCTGAATGTCCTCTTGTCTCAGGGTGAACATCAGGTGTTTCACATGTCACTTGCTTCTTCAGAGGTGACAGAAAAGAACAAAGGTTATTAATTTCTTGGAGAGAGCCTTCTGTTTCCACAGCATGGCACAATGATACAATAGCTGCTGAAGGTTGTAGGCTGCCTGCCAACAGAAAGAATAGTAGAGCATTGGATGGCTGAAGTAGGAAGCAGCAGCACACCATCCAGGGAGAAAAACACTGCAAAAAGGAACTGAGATTTCTGATGACCTCACAGCCACACCAGCTCTCTAAGCTAAATCAGCAGGTCCACTGTGATAACATTGGGGTGAGGAGAATCATCTAGGTACTTCTGCAACAAGGCAGGTTGCACATTACCAAACAGAGCAACTAATGTCTTGAAAACTTGGAAAAGAGCTGGTGAAACTGCCCTGGAGCAGAAAAAACACTATCGATACAGGTGTTTTTACAGGGCTTTTACAGGGTTTTACAGGGCTGGGCTGATACTCAAAGGCAGAAGTGACACAAGCCCACATTTGAAGGTGTAAGTGGTGCTAAAGTTAAGACAGGATTAGACACAGCCTCTAATGCTTCATTCTAGCACAGAATTTAGAGACCAGATCCTAGCCACATGCAAAGGTTTCATCCAGCAGTATTATCTATGGTAGGAATTGGCCAGTTTTGAAATAGCTTCATTAAAAGAACTTCTCAAATAGCAACCCAAGTCCGAAGCACTCTAGTCTCAGCTACAAAGGTTAGAAGGTGTGTTTTGCTTTCAACTACAGGCAGAAGTGTATGCCAGATCCAAACAAGAGCCAAGGTGAAGGGCTCCAGTATGCATACACACATGCACACGGAGTAGATCGGACAAGTCCTGGATATATTTGAGTAATCACTTGGCTCTTTCACCTTCAGCTGGTGCTGGGCCTGGAGCTGCTCCTGCAACCGTTTCATGTCAGCACTGTGTCTCAAGACTTGGGTTACACCTTCTCTCAGAAAAGTAGCACGGTAAGCTCCTGTGGCTTTTGCAGTGGGATCTTTCTTCTGCAGCTGTCGCTTGGCAAATCTGAGCCAAGCATTAAATACCTACAGCATGAACAGCAGACAGGGGCGAATGTTAAAAAGACAGGTTCCAGGCCAGGGACTCCCCCTACAGACAGGAATATTTCCCTTCCTCTAGGTAGTAACAAGCAGAGTTACATCCATGGCAGGACACTAAAAGAACAAAGGCACAGGGATTTAAGTCAGTTGAGGTCAGATGGGGAAAAACATATGCAAATTTTTTAATCTGATAAAAATATTTGGGGACAGTTTACCAGCATCCTAAATTAACATACAGTTGTTCTGCCAATGACCAGGCCCAACAAAAATGATACAGCCAGCAGGAAGATGAACCAATACAAAGACTGTATTGTATACAAGAAGGACATTGCATGAATGATCACTGGGGATACAAACAGATCAATCAGCTGGTACATAAACGACAGCACCCCCAACGATCCCACAGAAGATGGGACTCGGCCCACAACAGGTGGTACAAACAATGAACCAAGGTTTCCCATAGTTGGCATGGGAAACAGCCAAACCAGAGGGCTAAACATATAAGAAAAAGGTGCCCACATGGCGACTCTCACCTGATCGGCCCGTGTTTACAAAGGTCTAAACAGACCGGGGCCCAGCTCCAGGAGAGTCAGGAGGTCTGCCCTGAACCAGGAAGCTCTGGGGAGTGCACTTCACAGACAGACACTCCTGACTCCCTACAAGTGGTCCCAGCTTTTATCCCCAAGCAGACACCTGACCTTTGTCAATTCAGTGCGGGACCCCTGGGGCTCATTTCCCTTCTGGCTCTCCCTGCAGGGCCGGCCGCACCCTGGGGGGAAGCTATAAGGCAAACTCACCACCTCTGGATGAAGGGCTGTGGGAATCACCCATATATCAACCTTAATTTGGGGGCTCGGGGTTCAGACCCCAGCATTTCAACAGCACGCCCAAAGATGAAAGGGAAGAGATACTCGATGTGCCCTCTGCTGACTGCAGTCAGATCTGCAGATCTGTGAACTCACTTGCCTGCCCTGACCTGCACACGCCCTCACCTTTCTCTGCAATGAATGGGACCAGTGCCACAGCGCTTGCACTGTCTTCCGCTTTTCCCATCGCTGCTGCAACAGCTGCCAGGGAAAAAAGATTGCACAGGAACCAGGTTAGGAGTTTACATATCCCACTAGCAATGCTACCCAGATCACCAACCACAAAGTGCTGCTGGAGCCATAGAAGAACAACCTGCTCAGCTCACCCAGACATTGCAAGGTGTCTCTTGCACTAGCAGAACCAAAAACCCAGAAAATTTTAAAGTCATTTTTTGTGGTCCTTATGTGTAAATTGAATATGAAGGAGACGATGCAATAAAGATCAACAAGGAGTTAGATACCTACCCAAGGGAGAATTCCTTACCCGTGTTTTCCAGCAAGAAAAGGAAGCAGAGCAAAATCTGTAAGTCATTAGCTGACTTCCCTGTCTCTGTAGTAGCTGTAAAGCAACAGAAACAGTGAGCTACTTGCAGACCAACCCTGTTTTTCTGAGCCAAATGGTGCTAGAGCAAAACAGGCACCAAACAGCTTTTATCACCCTCCATTTCTTCTGCTAAAGCCACCCCCACTATCTAAGTGCCCTACAGTGTAATCCCATTTGCAAGTATCCATGAGCCCAGCAAGGATTTCACTAACAGTAAGTGACTCCACACATGGCAAGCCCAGCTTGTCATCTCTTTTTAAATATATTAGTTCTAGCAAAGCTTCTTCTGGTGAGACACAGGTATGTTCTTTCTGCCTCAATGCAGAAGGCTGTCATGCTGCTCCTCAGCCAAGACTACTACTCCCTTCACTAGGGGGCATGGCCTCCTCCTCCACACCTGTAACTTCCCATCCTGGGTCACTGGCTGGGGAGGTTGCTGATCCTTCTCACCATTTTCCTAAGGCACCACTGATGATATTTCTTCCATTTCACCAGGTACTTCTGGAGTAGGTGCTGCTGATGGTGCTGTACTGCCCTGTGCTGCTGAGCCCTCAGCATCAGAGACTCCCTAGTTAATTCTTTCCAGTGAATAAACAGGGTCTGTAAACACACTGTAAGAAGACAAATATACCACAAGGAGACTGTTAACCTCAGAGTATCAAGTAATCAGCTACTCTTCCAGATTGTTTTAGCAACAGTAAGCACTAGGAATAAGGATCCTGAAACACTTCAGGTACCAGACAGTGAGCCACGACTTGTAAGTCTTTCCTGCTGCCACTGACATTCTGTACAATCCTTAGGAAATATCTTGCCCCTGTGCCTCAGAATGCTCATGTCAAAAATGTGGCTGGTACCGTGAAAGCGCTTGCAGAGTTTGAGGGCCTTTGAGTATTATTACTAGAGAAAGACTGAAGCAGTAATTGGTATTATTACTTGCACTGCCCTCCAAACAGAGATATCTGAGCATCTCAAAATGAGCAATGGAAAATTCCTTTGAGGAAGGAAATGTTACCATCCCTTACACAGACGAGGAACCAACAGGCAAGCAAAAGTCACACAAGCAGCCTTCAACAGTTTGCTGGAGTCCCGGATCATTCACCATTCTATGGGGACATCCTTTGTAGGCTTAACAGATCATCCAACCATTTCATGTGTACAGGTGACATAAAAGATTGCTCTAAGCCATGGTTTTCTAAGGAGCGTACACAGATAATCTTTTGAGAGTTTACTATCTCCATCAACTCACCTATATCCAAATGTTTTCTGGCCTCCATCACAGCTGTCACCTTCTGCTGACGGCAACACACTTGGAGCAAGACAGCATATCTCCACTGTAGCAACACCTAAAAATATAACACAAACAAGACAGGACACAGACTGACACTGCAACCTTCAGAAGGGGAAGCAACATACTCCACATTGCCAGTACCATAACCGTTTCCATCTCATTTTGCACATAAGGCTCAGTAACATAGTGCAAATTTCTGACAAATTAAACACAGCAATATTTCAGGGGGTTCCCCTGGCATTTTTCAGAGCATTCTTCTTTTCCATTTGTCCATCTGTCCCCCGCACCCAAGTTAATGCTACTATGCTGTATCATACTACTGCTTTTCCCTTCCTTTGCGGAAATGAGGAGAAAAAAAGCAAGAGGAAAAACCATGAGTTCATTCAGATACAAGTTTCCAAAATGCCTGTAAGAATAAGATGGGACTCCCACTTTGTAGACCTTTCTTAGTAGTGGACTTCAGATTAAGTTTTTGTCCTTCTAATTGCATTACCTGACCTCTGTCTGAACTCACATCTATTCCTAGACCTTGGTAATTGCCATACAGACCCTACCTTTGACAGGATTGCTCTCCTGTAGTGTTCATCTGCCCGAGTAGTTGCCTTAGCTTCACACATAAGAGCAAGGGCATTTTCCCTCCAAGTACACATAAGCTGTCTGAAGGGAAAAGAGCGAACAAAAACAATTAGGAATGACTCCCACTTATTCATTTGGCACCTTTCCATGTGCAAGGGAACAAAAACCAGCTGTCTTTATAAACCAAGTCTTGCAAATCAACTTAAAATCATAGAATCACTTTGGATGGAAGAGACCTTTAAAGATCATCATGGCTAACTCCTGCCCTTTCAGGTCTCTGCTGAGGAGAAGGCAGTGCAAAACCAAAGCACACCCTTAAATCTAGCATCTTAAGCCAAGTCAGTCAGGCTCTGCAATACGCTCAAGCTGTACAGCATTAAAATAAACGAGGTAGATACAACTAAAGCAACTACAATCAATACAAAGGGATATTGTTTTAACCACTCTCCTCAGTCTAACACAAGACAGCCTCTTCATCTTCCAGGCTGCTTTAATACCATAGGAATCAGAAGCCATACACTGCAGGGAATGATACCATTTGCTGTCTTTCATGGGACTAGAATTTAAAAAAAAAAAAAAAAAAATTCAAGTAAAACAAATGGCAGTCCAGGAACAGGCTGACTTCTTTTAGCTAGATGAGCTGCACAGAAATAGCAATGCACAGCAGAGTCCATTCTAGCACCAAACACTCAAAGATGTACAGATGTGGCAGCGAAAGAGTAACCTGACTGCAGCACCCTCACTTCTCTCTCGCTGCACAAGGAAACAGGCTTACCGCAGCAGCAGTCTAGTGTGCTCCTTCTCCTTTTCAGCTACTTGGTATAGAATGTACTGTATGGTATATTGGTAACTCTGCAAGAAAAGCAGTAAGAGGCAATATTTCACTCAACTGCCAATATCTCTTACGATAGGAGTCACACAAAAACTTAGCAGCTGCTTAGGAGAGAAGTAGTGGCAGTAAAACATGGTGGGGGGAAACAACCCACATGGAGCTACAGGCACTGAAATCAGATGCTTCTTTTTCAAAATGAACAGTCATCACACACTAGCTAATGCCAGCTGTTACCCACCCTTCACCAAAGCCACAAGAGGACACTGGTTCTCTTCCCCAAGAAGCAATGCTACACCTTACATAAGCCTAGTGACAACAGCCTCTGTTCTACTGCGTACTCTTGGTGTGTAAGCTCCTGGAGTGAAATGGTGTGGCAGCTCTTCAGTTCTCACTGAAACACTTCAGCACACGCAGACAAGTCCCTCAAAGCAAAGGACATGCCCTTCTACCTTCCAGGCTTCCAAGACCTTCCCCAGCAGTGTGTGCCGATAGTGCAGGTCTGCTCGCACCAGCTTCCTCCATTTCTCACGCTGATGCTCCACGAACTATAAGAAGGGAGGGAAAAAAAAAAAAAAAAGGAAAAAACCAGCATGTAAACATGATAGAGGGAAAACTGGCAATGGCAGAGAGCAGAGAGGAAAGGACAATTTACAGTCTCTGGGGAAACATCAGTCCTTTATCTTGCTGTGATAGGCTCTTGCTCAAACCAGTGTTGAACTCTACTACTCCTCCAAAAGGCCTAGTTGAGGCTTTTTTTTTTTCTGCCCTTTTAGGAATGCTCTTGAAGACCAACACAATTCACTCAAGTCAACAGTTCTAGACCAATAGACTAGCATACACTAACATTTCTCATAGATTCTTGAGACATGCTGCAAGGCACATTTGGTGCCTCACATGATGGTAAGGAAAAGGCCCAACATAAAAGTGAAGTGCTATCTGATAGGGCCTGCTGTGACCTGTATGCAACTACAGATCATACACCATTGGCCTTGCTTCAAAGTTCTAACTTAAATAAAATTTTGAGAAGGACATACACAGTGCTGGCCAGAGACAATTTCATCACATGAATTCTGTTTACATTCCCAGGTTAATCTCCTGAACTACAGTCCCTTTCTCGCTATACCTAAACAAGTGAACAGAAGTCAAAAGTCTCCTCCCTACACAACTCCTGTTCCACTCACACTGAACAGGTTTTATCCACCTTGAAAAGGAGGAGAGCTTAGGAATGACAAGAGTTTAAACTAATTTCTAGCCATATGGGTACAGCAACCTGCAAATAACAAAACAGATTCAAGCTCTTCCCCATCTGTTAACTCTCTCACCTCTCTCCACTTGTTCCAAGTCTGCTGCACACACTTTGAATAGTGAAATCTTAAGGCTTGTATCTCCTTGAGCCTCCTATGAGAAAAATAATTTAATTATTTCTCCTGCAATGCAATCCATGTTACTGAACCACTCTAGCACAGACTTGAGTCTACACTTGTTATTTTCAGTAAGTCATTTACTGAAAGACAAATGCATAGATTCCAAACCACAAACAAGGAGTCAAAATCATTGTGAATTAAACACTGCTTTGTCAAAATTAGGCCACCGCAGGGTCAATGCAAGTAACTCTCCTTTTTGGAAAACCACCTTACTCTGTTCTTCTCTCCAGAGTATTTTGCTTCCACAGACAGAAAGCCTTTTGCAGCAGCAGGTTATTGTAGTGATCTCTTGCACAAACCAAGCCCTCTCTCTCCTCCAAACGTGCAGCTGCTCTTCTGCGCCAGAAGCACCAGAAACAATGCAACAGCTGCTTTTCAAAATGAAGTACAGCCTGGAATGGAAAGAAGGTGGCAATGCATCATCACACAGGCCAATTACAAACAGAAGACAATTCCTTAGAGATGGCATGCACAGAACTGTCCAATAATTGTTTTCCTCTTCTCAAGCTTAACAGCAACGGACATGTCAAAGCCCCTTTGTTGTGAGCTTACGTGTAGGTGTTCTACAGGTACCAATACACATGTGGATGGAGAAGCTGTTATCAGAAAACAGCAGGACAGAGAGGAAAAACAAGCTGATAAATAGCATGTGAAAGACTCCCAAGAACTGATAAGCTCCAGAAACCAGTCCTGTTGAATTCACAAGAACTGATAATCTCAGAACACCAAGAGTCAGCCTTCTCTGCACAAGGCCACCACACTGCCAGCAACTACGAGTTGTGTAACCCAGACCACGTAAAAGACAGCAGTAGCTGCTATATATAAAGACTACAGGATTATATATACATCTTAGGAAATGAAGACCCCCTTAAGGGACTTTATGGACACCTGCCTAGAATCAACTGTTTTGTCAGTACAGCCCTGCAATTCTTTAATAATTTTGACTACTACTATAATTGTTTCAATGATGTAACTATAAAAGAGTGTGAGAGAACACCCAAGTCCATCTCTTGCTAACTGATGTTCACAGAAATCATCCCCTCTATCTCCTAAGCAAGGCCAGATAAAAGAGTTACATTTACCCTTTTCTCTCCCATTCGGTATTCTTGTTGCTTGCACGTGTTCAGCAACCACACGTCAAACACCTTTCTCATCAACACCCTCCTGCAAGCAAAAAAGGCTAATGTCAGCACAGGAAAGAATTCTTTCAGAAAAGAGATTGATGTTATGAGCACCAAAAGACCGATCCATCTACAACTTAAACAGTTACTTGATTTTTCAAATCATGCAAGCCTTCTTTGGAAATCAGGCAGCTCTGTGTCCTTCTTATTCTCTGGGTTAAAAAACAGTTTGTCCCCTGAAAACCTACCTAGAATACATGAGACAAGATTAATCAATTCTCTAAAGGTATCAGAACTCCCTTTCATTTAGATTACTCAAAAGATTGTTCTGTGTTGTAAATGATTTTATTTATAAACACACAAAAAAATTATATCATTATCTTTTACTTGTTCTCCACCATAAATACAGACCTCTTCCTTCTCCCTTGGAAGTATTTTGAAAATCCTACTCTAGTCTATTTTAAAATAAAACACATAAACATTGTAACAGGACTTGAAAAAGTTGGAACAAAGAATTACCAAGAACGGCATTGTCTGATCTCAACAGTGAAAGGACTATACAGAAGTCTTCTTTTATGAAGAAGGTCAGTTTAGTCACACTCATTAAAGCTTCCTTCTCTCTAGATGCAGATTATACTTGCTAACCTGCCTCCTTCCCAGGGGTGCACAAGAATCATTAATATATATTTGTGTTGAACACTTTACATCTCTGTCACAGAACAAGCATATGGTAGAAGTGTCCTGGTCCAGAAGTCTGAAGTACAGCCTACTGGAAATAGCACACAGTTCAAGCTACATCAGTTATTTCCAGACATGGGCATACTAATCCCATTGTCAGAAAGTCTCAGCTCTTCTCTGGTCTAAAGAGGCCTAAAAGATATTTTGGATTCTTGCCAGGTAATTTTGGTACGTAGATGTTGCAGCACACTACAAGTTTCTAGGCTGGTAAACAATACAAGTTAGTCTTCCTGGAGGGTACTGGCTGTTGCTAGCAAGACTGCCTTTGATTTGCAGGCAGTCACAAATCTCAGTTGATGGCTCTTCTGAGTTATCTCCTAGGTCTTACCACCAGACACAGCATTTGGGGCACTGTCTTGTGAGACAGTGTGTTTGTGCATCAGAGACCAACAGGGAAGCTGAGTTCTGGCAAGCTGCCACAGAAGTTTTGCTTAGGTCTGCTTGGAAAGCAGCCCCAGACCTCTGAACGAGGAACACAATTCTAATTTGTTCTTTTGTGTTCAGGAAATAGTACTTCATTTATACTCTTTCTGAAGAGAAAAATGATTGCACACAAAAACATTCCTGACCCATGAAATCAAGGTATGGCTACAGATCCAACAAGAGCCTTCAAGTCATCTGTTTATCTCTTCCCTGGTGAGAGAGGCTTAAGTTACACTAAGGCAGTTGCCTGCTGCAACTCATCTTCACTAAGCTTACCCTCCTGAGTCCTCCAGCCTTTTCTGTCTTTGTATCCAGAGGTAAGCTAATGCACCACAGCTGCATCTCACACCAGTTGGAAAAACTCTTAACTGCTTGCAGAAAGTAAAGCAGCAGTGTTTTGAGCTTTGTCAGTGCTCATGCTGCAACCTACTGCTCCTACCAGTAAAGCATCTAGCCCTTACATCTAAACAAGCCTCAGAGCTGGGCTTAATCTCCCTCTCACATTTCAGAGAAGCAGGAGATGTAAACTGCCCTTTACTCAGAAAACATAGGAGCAGTTGGCATCAGGATGGTCTTGCCCCTAAAGGTATTATCAGATTTTAAGACAATAAAGGTCCACATATGCCACATTTGTACAAATTTGTATTAATATAAATATGTATAATATAAATTAACATAAATAGTTTATATTAATATAAATACTCTGCACACTTGTAACGGGCAAGAGCCACTGATGTTAAGGCCTGCTGCTGCTGTTCTTCCTTCTCTTCCAAACGGGACTTCCAAAGGTTCCAGAACTTGTGCAGCACCTGACGCAAACAATGAAGACATGCAAAAGCACAGGTATCAAGGGAAGAGAAAAAAGCAAATAAAGAAATTATAGATGTCCTACTGAAGCTGCATGCTGCAATGGTTGCCTCCTGCACTGCTTCATACACCAAACGTTTTATAACCTGCTATGAATTTTTCCAGCAAAAGTCATCATAAACATAGGAAAACAAAAAACTAAAATAACACATCTGAGACTAAGAGCTTACTTACACAGGAAACTTTCTGTGGCTATTAGTATTTAGGAACAAAGCCACTTATTTAATTAAAAAAGTATTTTGTAGGTGAAAGTGGAAGGATTCCTCCCTACTGTAGGAGGCCAATAGGACAGCTTAAGAAAAAACTAGCACAAGAACAAGAAAAGAAGTCAAACTCACTGTAACTTGGTGCTGACGGTGTGACAGATTTTTTCTTATTTGCTGAAGTCGAGTGTTCGTGACATTCTGCCAAAGACCCTTAAAGCCAAGTTTCTGTAACAACAAGAAATGCACATAACTTTCATGTAATCCAAATCAACAAGCACCAGTAAGTCTGGAACTGGCTGCTCCTTACAGACAATCTGTGTTTGATGCTACTCCTTGCAATGCTAAGATCTATGAACTTGTCATCAAAGCCATGCATCAACTTCCTCTCACATACTGTCACTTCTCCAGATAAACTAAAATTCCTACCACTTTCCCAGGGTTTCACTGTGAGACATCTAACTCATTCAGCTATCAACACCACCACCCAATTCCTTTCACAAACTACCTCCTCCTTCAGTTCAAGACTCAACTTGCTCCTTACCAAAACCAGAAAAACACACAACACCTCCCTTTTAGGTCTCCTCTGCACAAGGTCTTTTTGCCTACAAACCCACAGTACCTTGACTCGTGGATGAACATGGTAAACAGCAGCCTGCCTTGAAGTGCTCGTATAGTTACTGATATTTTTAAACTATGATCCAAACAGGTTAGTGCCATTCTTTTGATGATTGGTGTTTATCCACACTTGAAAACAATTCACTTCTGAAAAAGGTGAAGGCTTGTTTGTGCTCACCTTTCAGACAGCTTTCAAGGATTAAAAGAAAAACACAAACACAAACCAACAAATTACTTAACTACTTGCATATCCAAAAAGCTATCTTTGGACCCATGAAAAGAAGCATTTATGTGTTACTACAGAAGTGGGGGAGGGGGGGAAATAATTCTTGCAGCAAAAGTTTGAAAAAAAAGTTGAAAAGTATTCGAGTTCTCTCCACAGGCTCCTCCACAGATGATCCCTGTAGGTTTTTTCTTACCAGCAGATGATCCCTGTAGTGTTTTTCAGCCAGCTCACACTGTCGAGTCTCTTCCACACAGAGTACAACATCTGCCACTGAGTTAAAGTATCTTTTACACAGGAACACCCACCCTGATAAATACACACCTTCTCTCACACAGGGGCACTAGATCTCCATCTAAATTTGCTTCATTATTTGTATTTCCAGAACTGTTACCTGCAGAAATTTTGATGAATCAAGTTTTAAAATTTTGCTGGCTTATCACAATACAGTTCTGGTTCACTGCTAAGTAAGGAATCCCTTCCCAACTTTAAATTATCTTCTGCAGGCTCTTAGCTGCCAACAGGCTAACATACTGTAATTCCAAGTTTTTTACTATGGCCTTATATGTATCTTTCTAAAGATAACACGTTTGTTGTCACCCATGCTACTGTACAATATTCCTGCTTGTTAACCAGATCCTTCCCCTGTGGGAATGCTTTTACTCTACCCCTACCAGGGACCAAATACAGACTGGATACAATGCTTCCAGTGTGCAAAGACTCTCCATAAGGCAATCCTTGCTGCTAGTTTTTCCATGTCCTCTTGGTGAGCACGCACTCTTCGCCTTCGCTCCCACGATGCCCGCCAATCAGAGAAACACTGTTGGACTACCCTGCTTTGGTGATGCTCTTGGGCCAGCTCTAGAAAACAAACACACAAATTACTCGTGACTTGTTCCACCCTGGGTTCATTTATATTTGAGGAGGCCACAGAAATTTAAGCCACTGGTTCTGAAGTGACAGAAGCTCTAACACTGAAAAATCGTGGTAAGAATTCACAATAACACTCAGCTACAGATTATATTCTTCCTATTGATGACAAAGGCAGTTTTAAAGCAGTAACATACTGTACTGACTTACAAAGGGAAAGTTAAGACACCGTGTCACTTGTTCAACACACACAAGCTTGCTTACATTTCTGCATACTCCTATTACTAGCTCCCAGATATCCAGGCTGGATTCTTTTACACTAACACTGATCAACAGGCAATTCACACAGATATCTGAACTCATTTCAAGTGACTTCAAGGGAAGAAACAAAAGAACTGGTCCAATAATCTTTACCATCCCTGTGTGAGTTGTGATTTGTCTGGTTATCAGGAAAATCCACACACGGACTGACTGATAATAGCTCTGAGTATGTCCTTCTCACAGCATATAATATGCAATGTACAGGTTTTCATCATTGGAACTGTAAAGCACTTTCTTTTAAATCACATGGAAAACAGGTGATCCTCCCAACAGTTTGGTATACAACTTAGCTAGCCAGAAATAGGGACAGTGTGCAGTCCAAGTTGCACCTCATCTGCTGAGCAAGCAGAAACATTGCAGCATCTTGAACAGAAAAGAACCACTCTGCCCTAAGAAGAGCGGGTGAGCTCTGTTCTGTCCTGAGTCACCATTTTCACTCACCATTCTGAATTTTCTTTGCTCTGTAGAGATTTAAGTATTCCAGCCATGCTTCCATGCACCTCTTCAATTTCCAGTGCCGAAAGCAAGTCACTGCCCTAGTCTCCTTTTGCTTGTTGTTCTGGCTGTACAGATACAGTTCTCGCCACTGTGACCAAGCCTGACAGAACAATTGAGAAGGGAGAAAAAAAATTGACAAGACTGAGGATGTAAAGAAAAGCAGAAGAAACCACAGGCAATAGTAAATTCCATGTAGGATCTAAAGGTGAAAGCCATGAGCAATGCACTTCCTCCTCACAAAGGGGAAAAGAAAAATAAACAAAATCAACCAAACAAATGCCAAAGGACTATCAGCATAGAAAAGGTCAAAACCAAAGAATATAAATATTAACTTTTTAAAATTACTTTTTTTCATACATTCACACTTTTTCCATTAAAAGACCTACTTTCTGGACAACAGGCTTTCTTTCAGAGTATTCCATATAAAAGAGAATCACATCTTGAGCTATGACAAGATTTCCCAAGTCAGGAGTTTATCTCCTTCATAACATACTGGCATCAGACAGTGCTCCCATCTTACAGTGCAGGCCAAATTAAATACCATCACCTGTTTTTAATGAAGTGGCCAAAATGCCACAATTTCAATGAAAGAAAGAAATGCATACTTTTCACTTCAGCTAAGATGAACAATTTACTGAAGGAGCTGACCGTCTCTCAAGAACATGAAATGCTGGATTGTATTTCCTTACCCCAAAATGGAGTTAAACCTGATTATAGAAATTTATTAGGACATAAGGAATGTTTACAAAGAAGCACCGTGCTGTCTTGCCTCCTAATGGGTCAGTGGATTGGACCTCTGTGCAGTCAGGTGTTCTAGAGAGCTGGATACAACTACCCTTCATACCATGGTCCAAAAAGCACAGCTGCAAACTCACACAGTTTATTTTACCTCTTATTTACCTGTGGCTAGTTTTCTGGTGGAGAGAACTCTGATACTTCCACTATCATAAATTACTGTATAAAACAGTAATAATTCCTTTGGACAGTCTGCTTCCTAGCAAATATAAGACATGGGTCCAGTTTGCTTTGCCTAGGTTTCTTATAAAGAATTTTTTTCTTCTAAAAAAAATTATTTTGAACTAAATAATTATATTTGATCCCATAAGGATCATGGAGTCCAAATCCCTGCTTCTCACAGGACTACTTAAAATCAAATCATATGACTAAGAGCATCATGCAGATGTTCCCAGACGTCTGACAGGCTTGGTGCCATGACCACTTCCCCACGGAGCTGAAGTGATGGGGTTTAAACCCCCAGCCCTGAATGAGGGAGGGTATGTGGATGATGTCACAATCAGGCAAGAAAGACCCTCCTGCCTGGTTTTCATCCAGGGTCTGGCCAACCTTGGGTGGGAACCAAATAGGAGATCACCCACCAGGTGGCTCCCGCCTTCCACATGAACTTGGAGGCAGGGCAAGAAGCCACCTCTATAAGAACTGATTCTGCTTGCAGTAGAGTTGGGAGGCTGCCTACACAGTGCATGCGCTGTGTGAGGATTCTGGCTGCTGGAGTGCCATGTTTTTTCTTCTAAAAAAAATTATTTTGAACTAAATAATTATATTTGATCCCATAAGGATCATGGAGTCCAAATCCCTGCTTCTCACAGGACTACTTAAAATCAAATCATATGACTAAGAGCATCATGCAGATGTTCCCAGACGTCTGACAGGCTTGGTGCCATGACCACTTCCCCACGGAGCTGAAGTGATGGGGTTTAAACCCCCAGCCCTGAATGAGGGTGGGTATGTGGATGATGTCACAATCAGGCAAGAAAGACCCTCCTGCCTGGTTTTCATCCAGGGTCTGGCCAACCTTGGGTGGGAACCAAATAGGAGATCACCCACCAGGTGGCTCCCGCCTTCCTCATGAACTTGGAGGCAGGGCAAGAAGGCACCTCTATAAGAACTGATTCTGCTTGCAGTAGAGTTGGGAGGCTGCCTACACAGTGCATGTGCTGTGTGAGGATTCTGGCTGTTGGAGTGCATTGACTTGTTTCTCCCTCCAGCTGCCTGGCACTTTGGATCTCCGGATGCGATGCGGTAGCAGAGGGAGGAATTTGGCTGCTGGTCTGCCCCTTAATGGTAATATCATTCTGTATCAGGCAAGCAGTCAGCAGAAGAGGAGCCTGCTCCAGTGACCAACCACCCTCCTAGTGAAAAACTTCCTCCTACTGTTCAGCCTGAACTTCCTCTGGCACAGCTTCATTCCACTTCCTCATGTCCTAATATGTTCTTCTACCATATGTACTGCAATTTGCAAAGCAAAGAAGTACAAGGCTTACTTTTATTGATCTGCAACATTTGTCACACGTGTTTGCAACTTACACATTAGAAATGGTATTAACTGAAGCTTCTGGGACTTACTCTAAATTGTAGGCTCTGGGCCCAATGCTGCAGAGCCAAAATACTCATTTTATGTCCAATGCAGTTCTGGTAGTGTTGTCTTCTCCACACTGCCCACGATACGCTGCCAAAACAATGTTACAGACATTCAAATGCAGGTTCCATAGTTTGTTGCAAAAAAATCACCATCCTCTCACCAGAAAAAGGTATGAACAACAATCCTAAATTCACAGTCTAGGAACGTATCAGAAGAATTCAAATACACCCCAAAACGAAGAGAGAGAAAAAAAATCAAACCTGGAACAGAGTCATTGCAGAAAAGATAACAGACCACAGGTAAAAACCACAGCCTGCAGTCAGTGCCTCTCTGCCTGCTTCCACTTCGTTCTTACCGCAAGCAGGATCTGTCCCTGAATGCCAGTGCCACAGACTGCATCCCGTGTTTTGTCCTTTGAACTTCAACATAAACCAGCCACCGCTGCCAGGTCCTCAGCAATTTTTGCTTCTTTGCTGTGCACAACAACAAAATTATGGCACCTGAAGCTTATGCAAGAATCTGGCGTTTTTTAATCACCCCATAACGCCGCTTGTCCCCAGCTTCCAGTGCCCTCAACCCGTAGAGACACCTCGTGGGGAACTCGGAAAAAACAGCAGCCACTAGAGCCGCATGTGGGACCATCCACCCTGGCTGAGAGTGCCAAACAAGAACCTCTGAAACGCTGACAGCACCGTGCCACTTGTTCAGAGCAGCGTGAACAATCAGACAATGGCCCAGCTTTGTCCCCCGCGCTTACACGGTACATAATTGTCTGACAATATTCAGCCTTATTGGGTAAGAATTACAGGATTTTCTTTGGTTCGTTTTAAAAAAAAAGTTCATCAGGTTCATCAGTAGCTTTTCAAGAGTTATTCTTTATTACAGGCAGAGAAATCAACCAGAAACAAGTCCAGTTTATTTAGCAGGCTGGTCACACAGCTAAAAACAGAAGTGGCATCACAAATTCCAGTTTACTGCTTTATGCAGTACGCTGCACTTTCTCCTCACAGCAGTCTGGCTTGTCAGAACTGACACTACTGAAGCCAAGTTAGTAGACAAAACATGTTTGATTTCATGCCACTTCACACACTAAAAAATATAACAATCCGACATTTTTTAAGATTTCCTTGTGACGTGATGAATCAAGTGCTAACCTTAGAACAGGTCACTTTTCTGTCTTTTTGACTAAGCAACACACAGCTGCGACTACAAGTACTCCAGCCTCAGTCAGAAAGGAAGGAAATCTAGATAGCCTGTCATTTTGTTTCCAAAGTTGCCAGTCTATATAATATTCTGAAGCTACACGCATATGCAAAGAGACCAGTTAATTTATTTTGCCAATCAGTACAGAAAAAAAACACAGTAAAATCTTTAGAAGATCATCCTCCCCTGCTGAAACAGATATTCCCTGAAACCAAAGGCAGTTGCAACCAATATAGACAATTTCATCAGTAGGAGAAATCCATTGCAGAACAACGAATCTACAACAATAACACACGGGGCACTTAAAGAGCTTGGGATTCTTTTCAGTCGCAAGACACAAGCTGGAAAGGAATGGTGAATACAGATAAAACATGTGCCATTAATAACACAGGGAATTATTCTCTAACTTTAATAGTCACAGTTGATAGAGAATTCCAATAACAGATTATATTAAAAAAAAGCAACTATTTGAACAGATAATGGGATGAAGTAAAAAAAAAATTCAAACAAAACCCAAAAAACCCAAACCAATGCAACCAAACTACCCCCAAAAAAATGCAATTCAGAGCATATGGAGAGGCCCTTAAGCTTATTCACTGGCACCTCTAAATAACAACACAGCAGTGCAGATGGAACCCCCCCAAACAGCTTCAGCCAGACAACCATCTGCACCTGACAGCATCACGCTTCCATCAGCTGAGGGAGCTCACCCTACCAACATGTACAACAGACCTTCTGAATAAATATTTCCCTTGGAAGCTCCCATCTCAGCATGTCCCCAAATAAAGGTAGTTACCATCACTTCACTCACCATGAGACTCTGCAATATAGCATTTGTTCCTCTTTCCTTGTTGCTGGCATACGTAGGCTCTCCAAGCCTTGAATACCAAATTATGGAGTAAATGCCTGAAAACAAAAGCACCATTGGTGAAATGGCTAACAATGCCTACAGGATTCCATCAAGTTCAGCTGCACTCCAGAGATACCTCGGATAGGAAACTGACTTCACCCTAAGACAAGAGCAACAAAAAAAAGAGAGAGGAAATAAAACACAAACCCAAGCAATGAAGACAATGCTCTTGGCCTAGAGGTACCGTTGATGTGACTTGCTTACTGGTATTAGTAACTCCTTCAGAACCTAAGGCAAATTCCTCATACTGCTATGCACACGCAATAACAGGAACTCATTTCACAAACCTGCAATGGCCATCTGCTCTGAGACTGAGCTTCCTTTCTCTGCAAACAGTCCACCACTTCTTCCACTTGCCAAAAGTTTGTTGAAGAATCTTCTGGTCATAAAAGCATCTGAACAGTTGAAAGATTTAGACATAAGAAACTTCAAAGAGGTTTCCAGGTTGACCACAGATCAGTTTTAATGAAGATTATTCTACCTCTTTTCCAGTCTTGTCTGATTAGCCTAACAGCATCTAGCTGCATTTAAAAACCAATACCCTACTGTGACACTTTTTTCCAAGACTGTGAAACATGACAAGAAACAATCAGCTTACTTACTGTAAAAGCTTCACAAAATCAAGGAGGGAAAGACAGATGTTGCTAACTTTCTTGCCAAATATCAGAGTGCCAGTTGACTTTAGACCTACTAATAACCTGCATATTTTATCCTTGGTTCTGTGTTTTACTCAAACAACCAGCACAGCTAATAATGATACATGTATTTGCTTTGCTAATTTTGCTCTGTTATGTTAACACAAAATATTTTAGGTACAGAAATAAATATAAAAGCTACTCCAAATTTTATAATGCTTTGATATTTCCATTGTATTCTTAGAAATGGCATGCTGATCTTAAGACATCCCAAATTTAAAATCTTCCCAAAGAACACTTAAACAGGCTTAAGAACTCCTCAGGCTAGTTGCACATCATCAATGATAAAAATTAAGCTGTTCACCTGCTCAAGTACCTCCCCCTACCAATGGATGCAAAGCCATGCACAAAATGGATTCACAAGTTACATACAACCTACAAATCCTTTAACCTTGATGGAACAATCTCTGCTTTTACACCCAGGTTTAATGAACACATACCTGACCATGTAAAAAGTGATGCTACATTTCACCTGAACAGTGAAAAACTGAAAACTCAAATGTACAAGGGTGTGCATGAGGGAATTAGGATTTTTATCAGCTAATTAAAAATATGGGTCATAATCTATGAGTTCAAGCATGAATTTTTTTTTTTTTTTTAAATATTCTCTCAAACATTTTGCTACGTCGTCAAGATGGCAGCAGCCTAAGCATCAGAAAGTCTCATCAGCTGTTGTACAAATACTTTCAAAAAATTTCTGATCTTTTTGTATTTGTGATGGAAAGAAGGAAAATAGAATGACCCATGAAAACATACAAGCTAACCAACAAAAAGCACACAAGCCCAGATGCACAAGCTTTGACCACAACTATCCCACTAGCTTAAATTGGTCATGTCTGTAATAACAACAGGATTAGGGCCAGAATGTCTAGAGGTCTCTCAGTAGAACACATACAAATCCTCTCTCAGATTGCAATTCATAGCTACCTACCCCAAGCCAAGCTGCTAAGTCATTCCAAGCACTCAAGCAGAAAATAAAGAAAAAAAAAAAAAAAAAAAAAAAAAAATGAGCTATATGTTGTTTTTTTTTGGTTTTTGTTTTTGTTTTTTAATTTGGTACATTAACAGAACATTGCAAATAAAAGCTATGGAGAACTGAGTACTCTTAAAACAGAAAAGGTAATTAATTATTGCTTCGGTTCCTTGCCAATTTTTATAAAATCTCTTTCCACTCATCCTCCTAAAAAATATAAAATAATCATTGTCCTGAATTTACACACAGCCAAAGCAGTGCAAATTCAGTACATGGGATAGCAAGACAGATAAGGTTCACAGGACAACTCGCATTTGTCAGTTGAGGCAGACACAGAACACATCTGATACAGCACAGTGAAAATGGATAACTAAGGGCTTGATATGACTGTAACAAATGCAGGTGTTTCCACTGGGAACTGCTTCAGTTCCCAGGGGTGTGGTCAAACAGGAATGAACATGCCAACTGAAGCAAAACAAGAGTATCAGTGTGGGTCTTCAGTAGCTGACAGAACACTAATGACAGGAACAACCATCTGCCACAGCTATCTCTAGTCAGACAGATACAAAGCATGAACAGATACACATTAAGAACGACAGTGAAGACAGTAAGCTGAACTGAATTTCAAGATCTATCTCTAGTTATATCTACGAAAAATTGTTACGTTTAAAACAGGTATCACAATCGTACTCCATCATTCATATGCACGTTCCGTTCAACTTCACAAGGCAACTGCAATTCCTATTAATTTATTAAAATTTAACCATGAATACTAAAACCAAACAAAAAGCAGGAGCAAGAAGGGTATTCAAAGGAAAACTTCAAGTCATCTCAAAAGATATCCAAATATTTTTGTGGCAGCCAGTACCCTCTTAGCCCAATGGTATGACATTAATATCACTAAAAACAAACAAACGAAACACCAAAACAAAAACAAACCCATAAAAAATCCCCACTCTTGATTTCCATAATTTTATCTACCTGGCTTTTGAAGGGAAAACTTGTCCAAATGTCTTTTTTGCCCACAGATAGAAGCATTTCCTCACTAGACATCTGGAACAGAAGGAAAGGTTAGCTGCCTTTGTACTCTACCAATGTAAATTCCCAGACAGCAGTAAAAACAGGAACTTTTATGCTACTTTCAGTAGTAAAACTAAGGGTCTATTTTTCAGAGATCAACACATATCTGAAACATTTACACCCTGAAATTAGTACCTTTAACAGGACTGTTCACCAAGCATAAACAGAAGTCCAAACATCACTGCAAGACCTGAATTGGGACATCTTTAGGAAACCTGGGCAGCTGAAATATCATCCAAGTGGCCCACTTACACACAGTGATACTAACGAGCAGGCTGCTGATTAACTGGGGAGCCTTTCTGTGATTTGGAACCCACACCACCACTGTTTCCCTGAAGTCAATCAGCTGAGTTCGACTGGTTTCCAGAATATCTGAGCAAACCTAATATTTACCCCTGCCCAAAACCAGCAGATCTGCCTTATTCCTACCTCCTCCAGAGCATTCCCACTTCTCAGTGAGCTTCTCTTAATATCAGTTCAGCTGACTAATCTGTGATTGTGATGCCATCATCCTTTCCCCCTTACTTCTCCCAAACAGATTTAAGAGTTAACTGGCACACAGAGGGCCCCAATAAGCACCAAAGACATCACAAGGCAATTAATTACAGCACACAGCCATGAAAAGGGCCTCACTCTTCAGCAAGTCTGAGTTGCTAGATCAGCTCCATTTGTGCAACAAACATTAAGCTTTTAGTCTCTAAACAATTACCATCACACTTTTGTCAAGACTGCTTCAACAAAAAAAAGTAGTAAACACAAGAGGCAGGCAACACTAAATCACTACACCTGGCAGTGCCTTATCAAAGCACATAGTTACATTGCCATTTTTTAAATTTTATATTAGAAAATCAAAAACCAATGAAATCTGCGTCGTCAAATTATCACACTCAGAATATTTCTGGCATGCCAGGGCACAAAAGCCTTTCCCTTAGCCTGCTCTTGTACTACTAAACCCAGACTTCTTTAGGTCTGATCCCCTTGCTCCACTCAGTGAAAATGATGTTTTGTACTTATCACCTGATTTGGAATTCTTTAAACCTTCCTTGGTGCCAGGTATACTCAACTTGATCCAGATTGTCATGACCTCTGTCCTGAAATTGAGGTCTGGCAGATTGGGAAGCAATGGATTGCCCAGCTGCATTCATTTCATACCTAGGCAGCTGTTGGATTTCATGCATCTTCAGAGATTTTGAACTTAAAAGGAAAAAATACAATATTTAGTGTAAAACTACCTTAGTGCAAAGAAGTGACATTACTTCAATAAATTATAACAAAGTTATACAATCACATATAGAGGTTGTCAGCTATAAAATGTTAAAATGCTTTTGTCTCTTTATCAGGCATTGTTCACTATCTGGAATTTAAAAGTTTTTTTCCCCAAAACAAGCAGGAAGATACTTTTCAGTGCAATCACATGAGACAATTCCTTTCTCCTCTAAAGTTGAAATAAAAAGCACTAGAATGCATTTGTAGAGGAGATACAAATGTGGTTTTCTGCCTTTTATTCATCAAACATATCAAGGTATTCTATCTATTGCTGAAAAAGTCTCTTGAGGACTAAGGAAGTGAAGTGAGAAATATCCATTTTAACACATAATGCACTCCTATATACAGTTCTTTTACAAGGAACTCTGGTTTTGTTCATATTTTAACTTTGTTTCTTCTTTAAAAATCCTAAAAATACCTTCCTGTTTCTACACAATCATCAAAAAGCAAAATTAGGCATGTTTTTCCGTCATATAGTTTATTTTCACACATAGTTCTCATCTGAAAAATAATAAGCATAGTTTTTTGAATTCTAAATATTTTGTCTAGGCAATTTTTCTGAAAACAAGAACAACAGAAAAAATCTAACCAGATGAAACTTGCTGAACCAGTTTTATTGAAGCTTCTTTCCCAAAACAAATACTGCCACCACCCTGAAAACTTGCACATTAGAACCACAAACACATTCTTGAACTCTGTAACAGGCAACAGAAGATAATGGTCTGAAGTCTCATCCTAATAATAACTGAGCTAGGAAAAAATAAACTAAGGTTCTACAAAGTTTTTTGGAACAATGTATACTACTAAGTTTCTGGAGTTCAGCTGAATAACCACTTACAGTATTAACAACAAATCACCGGGGGAAAAAAAAAATACAAAACACACACCACACACACAAAAAAACCTAAGTTTTGTATTAAAGTCTAAGATGTGAATCCTTAATGATTTTCCAACATATGTAGCTTTTAACAGATTATTCCTAAATTTGAAACATTCTATGTGCTACACATAGGTAGTGATGACAGCCCAAGTCCCTCAGAATTTACAGCAAGTAACCACAAAAAATAGCAACTGAAGAAAGATCATTTCTCCCTTGTAAAGTTAGAAAATAAAAGCATGGGAAGAGTAAGAGGACAAGAGACAACACCACAGAATAAATCTGAAGTTGGGTCAACAACTACATCAAAGTATCTTACGTTCCAGTTTCAATACCTCAACTTCAAGAACTTAATATTTAAAAGTGTCATGGTTCATGATAACATAAACCCACATTAAGCTGTATTTCAGGATAGCTTTGGGGTGGTATGTTTGTTGGGTTTTGTTGCTTGTATTTTTAGAGAAACACTTTATGATTAATAGTGTTCCAGAGATGCCAGTAAGTCCTCATATGGGAGGAGCTCAACTTTCCACTGTCCCATGGAATGCCTAAGATGTCATAATCCAAAAAAATAAATTACAGCTGAGGTCTTTAACAAGGTAGCATCTTACTACTGCTTACCTGCTTCTAGATTCTCCATCTTCCTACAGTTCCAAGCCTACAGCAAACAAAGGCACTCTTTACACTGGGCTGTTGTCTATTAGCCTTGGACAAAGAATAAACTGGTTCCTGTTATTTGTATTGAACCAATCAAATGGATCGATGCTAAATGCAGCCTGTATCTTAACAATGGCAGTGACTCCACTCACTCGCCCTGCATGCAAACAGCATAATGCAATTCCAGATGTTCAGCATAAAAAGCATCTGCCTGCACGCTGACAGCTTTGCTGACCTGAATGCTACTGTGCTGGCATAGCCTACCAGTAACCAAGTCACAACCATTTGAATCTTAAGACTGCAGCTGTGCCTACTTAAATAAAGCTGTGCTAGAGAAATACTGTAAAAAGGAGATGACTCTAAGTTATGTTCTCCTTTTGAGAAATAAGTTAACAACCGCAGGTGACAAAATTAATATGTAATGAAACTGACTCAATGTTTTAAATTAAGCTTCTCTCTCTTCACAAGCACATAGAAATTAGCAATAAATTCCACCAAGCTCCAGCGAAAACTTTCATATGCACAGAACCTTCTACCCACCAAAGGTCTTAGGGAGATTAAGATTGAAGGCACCTGGACTTATGACCAGCAATCCCCCTCTAAGCATGAGATCCAAAGT